GTCTCTGTCTCTGTCTCTGTGTGTCTGTCTGTCTCTGTCTGTCTGTCTGTCTGTCTGCCTGCCTGCCTGTCTGTCTGTCTGTCTGTGTGTCTGTCTTTCTGTCTGTCTGTCTTCTGTCTCTGTCTGCCTGGCCGGCTGGCTGGCTCTGTCTGTCTCTCTCTGTCTGTGCATAGGCATTTGTGTAACTATGTGTCTACGTACCTGTGTGCGTCTATATATACCTATCTATGTATATGTCTATGTATGTATGTATGTATGTATGTATGTATGCATGTATGTATGTATGCATGCATGCAGGTATGTGTGTCCCGGTGCATCTATGTCTATATCTGTATCTACATCTCTATCTATATCTACATATATACGTCTATGTCATGTCTACGTTGCTGGTCGTATTGCTGCTATAACTGCTAAAGGACGCAGTGTGCCAAAGGTGCGGGCGCAAAGCCGCAAAGGAGCAGGCCTCGCGACCGAGTGGCGGAAGCTCCACCGCAACAACCTGATTCAACCCAGGAGCCGACCTCCGACATCACCAGCTCATAAGGACAGGAGCAGCCTGCCTTTCCGGAGAGCGGTGCATCATACCGCGGGCACTGGGAGGCGAGGAGGACGCGCAGCCCAGGACTCTCCACAAGAGTCTGACGGCATCAGGGGTTCTTCCGAGTGGGGGGAACTTGCACACTCTTGCTATAGGCGTCGCTGTCAGCAGCTTTAGACCAGAAGCTCGACTAAGCGCACGTCAAACCCCTCAGGCGTGACTTGTGTACTCATGTAACTCATGTAGCAGCAGAACATGGGCCGACCTCTTCCAGGAAAGCCCACAACTCAGCTGCAGCCGGATTGGAAGATCCAAAGCTCTTCTCAACTCCGTCGAGAGCTAGAAAGAGGCAACGGTTTCCTGAAGGGCAACAAGTCTTGCATGCGACGGCAGCATATTGACTTCGAGAGGTGGCCTTGCAAGAACGGTTTTGCATCGAGTGGACCCTGTTTGAAGCAGCGCGCCTACCAGAGTTTCCCGGAGCTTGGCCACCGCGGCCATGGGATCGAGCCCTGACCTGCACGGGCGTGCATACCGTTTCACATCAGTCAAGTGCCACCGACATCTGCAGACAGGAAGTAAGGATGCGACAGGCGCAGCCGCACTGCCCCGCATTTCAACGCAGCGTAGCCACCAGCAGCTGCCTCCGCCTGTGGCCCATGCCCCGAATCGAGTAAAGCGTTCCACAACGCATGTGCAAGGGCTTATCTTGGCTGCACGCCTCGGAGGGAAGTTCTCGGTTGCGGCAAAGCCGCAGAGCGCTGGGCGAGAAAAGCCTTCTTTTAGATACATTACTGTCATTACTGTGACGAAACTCCGTTGGTGCGGGTTCAGAAGTGGCAGTGCCTGTCCCCCGGCAGCGAATAGAAGCGGCAGAATTCGGAGATGAAAGCAGATTTGCCGATGCCAGCCTGCAGGTACTTCGCGAACGGCGGCAAGGTCTGTAAACAAATGGTGTGGTGCCTTGCCGTAAAGCCAGACAACCCGACGATGACCCAAGAAAGCATTGGCCACGGCGGCCATGGTGGAACCTTGAGTCACCCATGCAGATGCTCGGGACATGTGCAGCACACGTGGGGACAGTCTTCTGCACCTCGTCCCACAAAATCTTCCACAGGTGGAGGAACGTCGTGCGGATCCAACCTGAAAGCATAGGAGTCTTGGCAGTCGCAAGGCTTCGCAAGGCTTTGCAAGGTGCCCAGCCCGGTGAAGCGCGGCAGAGTCAGCGCCAAGCGGGGCAGCTGCACATCGGGGCCGGGCGCGAGCTTGGTCGGAAAGAACCGGAAGTGCTCGGCCTGGTCAACATCACCGCCCGCTATCCATGCACGGCCACCACAGTCATCCGCCCTCTTGGCTCACTCCACGCCATTCCACGCTGCGCGGCGCCTCCGAGCGCAGCCCGGGCTGAGGCGACAAGCGCACGGCACGCTGCGCCGCGGCGAAGGAGGCACGGGCCAATGCGGTGACCTCAGCTTGGCCCGGAGACGCAGATGTTCAAACCAGAGAGACTGGCCCGGCATGATGATGCCGAGTCACAGGGTATGCTGACTTGGGAAGAGCAGCAGCCAACGACCGCAAGAATATACCTCATCACGCCGACTCTCTGCGGAGAAAGCCCTTCAACGGACATGTATGTTTCACGGAGAACAAACTCATATTGTCGTTGCTCCGCAGGCACGAAGAAATTCGCGGGCCGCGGCATCAAACACTTCGCCTGCGGCAGCTCTGGCACTGAAATTCCCCGAAACATACGAAATCTTGTTCCTCAGGCAGTTGCCCGAGCAAGCGACAGCACAGCTGGCGCCGGAGGCGACGAAGCGCTGCGCCAGTGACCTCGACTATCCCTGAAGTGGAATACTTCACACCTGATGCAAAAATCTCAGGCTCGCGCTTTCTGCCCCTACAACCCGCAAAAACAATAACCATGGATCTACAGCTGCAAATCCTTTCAATTCCGCCCAAGTTGCTCAGAATGACACGCATCAACTACCACGACGTCGAAATTGTCGGCTGGAGTGCCTGAACTTGTGCTACTTTGTTTTCCTCTTTTGAGGCTTTCGGTGGGCTGAAGGAGGCGGGTTTCTGTGGCACTTCGGTTCTTAACTGCCGAGGGTAATCGAGTTCCCCCGCCATTCGCAGCTCCTCTCTCTCTCCCTCCATTCCCTCCTTCGTTCCTTCCCGTGACTTAAAGCCGAGGGAGACCACGCATGTCGTGCGAGAACTCTCCGCTTCACAACAAGTCTGAACCCTTCTACGCATGTGCGAGGTCTCTGGATGGGCCCCGCTTGCCCCTTTTGCACTGCACGCGTACATGGAAAGTACCGACTCGCCATTCAACCCCAAGGCCCTCAGCCCTGAACACAACTGGTCAATGGGAACATCGTTCTTCCGCTGTTTGCGTGCAGAGGCCACTAGACATGAGACAGGTTTAGCTTTGTGTGGCAAACTTCCAGGAAGCGGGTCTAGCAACCGAAACTCCCCAGCAGTGTCGGCGGCTGTCATGTGGGCACAAGCCTGACTGCCTCCATCGCAAGCAAGGAAAAACACCCGACACTCCTCGGCAACATTCGGCAACCAAGCCACTTGGCCTATCTCCTGCTGCCAGGTCTGGGCCATTCAGATCATTCAGCGCCAACAACTCATCCATGTCCCGGATGCCTACCACTTGCGCATGACCTTAGCTACGTCGATTTCAGCACTCACAACTGGGAAACGCCTGGCGAGGTTACGGTCAGTCCTTGCAAACCTGAAGCTTCATGCTGAGGTCTTGGCCAACTGCGTCCTCGAGTAGCAATGAAGGCTGAGACTTCTCCACCGCACAGTGGGCTGACAGGACGAGGACTCGAGGGGCCAGTGAGGAACGCTCCGTCCTGCGCAGCACTTTGGCAAAAGAGCCGAGTGTAGAGAGACACGAAAGCCACCTGGAAATGTTCGGGTCCAGGTTTGCCTTTGGAGCTGTCATGGTTGGGCGAGACCAGATCGGTTGCTAGCGACCTACGAAAATAGCATCACATCAGTGTATCTGGCTGGTTTACTTCATGCCGGGTCCTCCAAACTTCCGCCAAAGTTTCGGTGGTGGCTGTGCGAACCTCTGCGTGTAACGACATGTGTACATGCACAAGCTGCAGCCCATGCGAGACGATGACTGCTTGCTGGGACAAGCTGCTGAGAGGAACTCCACACCAGGCATTGTAGCCAGAGCTTCAATTTCAGCTCTTATGTCCAGGGGCGCCACATCCAGAGGAGACGCATACAAGTAGTCGAGGTGGAGCCCTGCCGCCTGGCATCGCTGTGCTCCACGGCCACAGGCACTCCCCAGCGCTTGTGCCGTCTTGTGCAGTTCGGGGCGCCTTTGGCGGTACTGGGCCCGTTTCTCCAGACTTGACCGGGTCTCTGTCAATCCTGCAGCAGATGCACGGTCACACCGTCAAATCCGTGAAGCTGTGCATAATTATGCATTCGGGAAAGTTAAAACTTTTCATGGTTGTCAGAAGAGAATTTGCCGCCAAGCCTCCTCTTGTCGCTTTCTTCTGGCTTGCCGACACCGCGCGGAGACCCTGAGCCTGGCCTCGTGCAGGCGAGCGTTCAAACGCTGAGCACAACTGCGCCCTGGCTGCCTGCCGTTTGCGGACACGAGTTATCCGGCAGGACAAGTGCTTCGATTCAGAAGCCAAATTCACCCACTGCAGTTACAAACAACCTCGAGCACAAAGACATCCTCTCTCACCGCGGCACTGCTGGCGTTGCAGAAGATGTTGTCGCCAATCTAGGAGCCAAGAAGGTAAGTCCTCAATGATGTCACCTAGGCTCTGAGTCAAGCCACTTAGGGGTTCGATTTGCCGACCATGCCGGACAGTGCAATGTGAGTGCGACTCACAAGTCCCGAGACGCCGGATTTGGGGCAAACAGCAAGGTCTTCATCTCGAAGCACACTGTGCAGGTCAAGGACCTAGGAGCTTTTCAGGCAAAGCACCCGAAGCAAACAACATGAAAATGTTCAGTGATCTGCTTGCGATAACACGCTGCATGTGTGTGTCCAGCCGTGCAAGAGGGGCATCGGATGCCGGCGCGAAAGCTTATCCTGCGCAGGCTGTGTAAACGGTAATGTGAAACGGCCTTGTGTATCCTCAGTAGTGGCGAGTCCTTGGCATCCACGCTGCGATTGCCTCTCGGAAGTTGTGAAGCAATCGCTCCTTGGTGAAAGCACGCTAGAAGCCGCCTGCATGCTGTGCCATTGATAACCCTCGCAATAACACAAAAGGAAAGCATGGCAAGCAAAAATAAGACCAGTAGTGCCAAACGAAGCCATACTTGCGCTGCTGGGATTCTACATGCCGCCACGAATGCCGTGCTTGTGCCTCAACACAGAGAACACGTTTAAGCCTAAGCCAGGTGCATGAGTCATGAGTTCCCTACCCATCCGCCTCAGAGCGCCGTGGGCGCAAGGAGCACCGCAACAGATCACCCCAAGGCCTCGCCCATACTCACACGGGCCCCAAGATCACGTGGTGCTGAGATGCCCTGATAATGCATCGAGAGCACTGGACCGACACCAACAGCAGCCTCACAGGGTATGCGAAAGCTCGAACATGTCGACCTGAAAGGAGAGATCTTGTGAAGACATGTGAAGACCAGCGACTCCCTGGGACGCCAGTGCCCGGAGTATCGCAGAGAGTCTCCCTGAGCTTGGCCCTGTGTGGAGACAGCGAAAGTCGCCTCGATGCAAACGAAGCGAGGCAAGGCCGCAAGGTGCGAGTTTCAGAGAACGGGCTCAGGGAGCAAAAGATCTTTTCAAGTTGCGAAGTTCGCGTACATTGACAAGATCTGCACTCCAGACTCGACTTTGCTCAAACTGCAAAGCCTCAGATGATCGAGCACCAGGGCGATATCACTGCGTGGCAATGCTTTGCAGTTGGCGCACAGTCGCGGGATCAGTGTCGGCAGAAGGCGACGCAGGAGGCCATGGAAGTCCAAGTACAGCACGCAGGCGTCCTGGTCGTCCCCTTCGCGCTCGCGCAGCGGCCGCAGAGGAAGCTGCGAGGGCACCAGAAACACATTCTGCCTCAGCCGTTGCGAAGTGGACTGCAAGCTACTGCAACAATCTCTGCCATATCGCCAAGTCAAACGGCCGCTGCAGTGGGCTCTGCTTGTCGTGCCCCCAGGATAGAAGCAAATCCAGAGCCTGCAGAGCCGGACAGTCCCCAGTCCCAGTAGCAGCTCAGCGCCGCCGAAAGGAGACCATTGTTCACTCTTTGCGCGAACACTCTCCGCAAGCTTGCGCGTTGTTGGCCGAAAAATTTTGGTTAGTAGCCCAAGGCGAATCAAACAAGTGCCCGCGCCTGAAGAAGCCCGACCAATTCACCTTGATATTTGGCGAAATGCTTTGCGCGCCACACTGCCGCCAGGAGCTGCGCGTGGAGCAGCCCTGAAGGTCTCTGTTCACACTGCACACATCCGCCACTGCAGCGCAACCCTCCATATCCCAAACCCAGTCTCGACATCGACAAGCCCTTGCGCCTTTCTCCTTCAGCTCTGCCACTTGGTTGACACAGCCTTGGAAGACCTTGTCCTTCGCTGTAAGCACCTTTCCACAGCTGAGGAGACACTTGTCCGATGCGGCATCTGTTGCTTGCGACACTCGTTTGCCGAGATACAGCGGCCGCCGCATCGCCAACCCATCCGGGCTTCAGGCAAATTAAATCTCCTCGTGGCATCATGCGGCCACTTGAACAGAGACGCGTCACAAAACGGATGCTGTCCCATACGACCCGTACATGGACAAGTTGCTCAGCTCTTCAAAGACCGACTCCGGGAAGTGAAGCAAAGCGCCAAGTCCGTGAAAATGGCGCAAGAAGTTTTGCCTACAGCACTCTGTGCATCGAGTCCTCTCTCTAGCAGCAAAGCTTGGCGTTTCTGTCTTCGCTGACCCAGGGGCAGTTCCGTCCGCGACTCGAATCCGTATCGCTTGCAACGCTGCCACAAGTCTTCCACCTTGGTGAAAATCAACAAAAGGTCGCAACGGAACAAGCGTCACAAAACAGTAGGCTGAGGCTGGAAGGGGTTGTAGGTGGGCTGTTTTGGCCTCGACACGCGCGTCAGCGGGCCCAGGTTGCCGCTGCCTCCGGTCCGCTGCAGCACCGCCCAGAAGTGGCTCCAGCGAAGGGGCACCGCTGTGCTCAGCGGTCCTTTGGCAGACGTGGCACGGGGCCCACTAGGCACCCTGAAGTTTGCTTACAATGGATCCAACCAGCACTTGCTCCTTGAAGCAGTTTGGCGACCATGCTCTCGATGGCTTCGCGAAGATCGCAAACGGATCCTCAACTGAAGCTTACAATGGAGGCAGCGCACAGGTAACGCACATCTGCCGAGTCGCTTCCACTGTCGGTGGTGGCATTGTCAACTGGGAAGAAGCACAGCTGGCTCTGCTCATTGATCTGTAGTTGCCTGCAACTTCCCCAACTGCTCCCGACAGCCATGACAGCCATGAAGCTCCATCGTTCGTCCGAGGCAGACGCTCATTGAGTTCGGGCAGCTTCGTGCAGAAAGCTGATATGCGTTCATTGACTTCTGCATACACTGTCCGGCGGGAGTCGTGCGAAAGACCTCGCAATCTGAATGCCACAGTGTCTCCAGTCAGCGATACCACACATGACTGAATCCGAGAATTTGCACTAATCGCTTGGACAGAGCCCGGCACAGTCGTCGTGCGTGCCAACGATGGCCACAGGCGAATTCGGGGCATGGACTGCAATGGAAGCCAGCCACCACTCCAGAGCTTGCCACGTGTTGGAAGCCTCTGACTCCTTCGCTTCTTCGACGCCCATGGCATTGAAGGCAGAAAGATCTATACAAGCCAAGTATATGCCATAATCCTTGGCTAGGACATCTCACAGAACTAATCAAAACAGTGCCACTGTACATCGTATCGAAGCTGCCCAGCAGCACTCAGAAACAGATGGTGCATGGCATAGTATACTTCCTGTCCGCCAAAATCGTAAGCCTCACAGGCGTTTTCCGAAGATTGGGGGGTAAAATCCTGCTGTCGCCCGGAACAAAATGTTGGCCGTGAATTCTGCAAACCATGATCGCCCTGCTGGGCTTGCTGGCTGACCCCTTGCATTGCCTCCAGCACGACCGTTTTGTCCTGATGCGAAGACATGCGAACACCGTGCACATCGAGTCGAGATGCTTAAATTCTGCTTCCCATGCTAAGCGCAAGACGGCCCCAATCTGCCAGGCATGCACATGCTCCAAACGAACTTATAGGCTCAGGGCCGATCGGACACTGTGCATGTGAGTTGCACATCGACTTTGAACACCGTCCTCGTGAGCGGTGTTCAAGTTGGCCGCCGTCTCTCCAAGCCGCCTGCCGGAATAGCACTGACCATTGACACCAAGGAGCAGGTCTGGAGCGACTTCTTTGGACTTTCGTTACCCGCCTGGCAATCAAATCCACCGGCATTCGCTTCATGACGGCTTTCTCATCCAAGGATTCTTGCTTTCCTGGCAATGCAGGCTTTGTGCATGGGACCCGCTCATCGCCCTGACATCTCCAGCCCAGGTGCCCATCATCTTCGCCGCATTGGGCGGAACGGCATTGCCAGGTGGGCGAACGAGGTCTGCCACATACCTGCTTATGCCAATTCTGGTAGGGGTGCAAAGCAAAACCACAGCCAGAGCCGTCAATGCTCTTTCTCGGGCTCAAGATGTCTCCAGTGCCAAAGTGCTTGGCGACGCCACGATCCCAGCGTGAGCTGCTCGCCGCTGTCTGCGCATCCTGACACCGAGCAAAGTGCAGACCCACCTCGCAAATCTGCCAGCTGGCACTAAACTGTCCTGCAGCTGCCAGCGTTGCCCTGGAGCTGCAGAGATCAGGTCCTGCCGTGCGTCGGTTCTTCGCAGGCAGGCGAATGCAATGAAGGAAACGTCTGGGGCTTGGGAGTGTTCTAGATTCCAGAGGAAGCTCGGAGCTCGAGGCTCGAATTACGACCTTATCGGAGCCTTCCCTTCCTCAATCGCCCGCAAAGATAACTCAAACACCTGACATGGCCTGAAAACGGAGAGAATTGTCTCTCTTTCGCGATCCTTCTGAAAAATTCTGGAAAGATCCCGTAGCTTGCATGGCTTTGGGTCGGAGCTCGCTCTGGGGCATCCCGTCATGAAGCTCGGGTTTACATTTTGCATTGGTTTGGAGTCGAGCTCGCCTCCCGAGATGACTCGATTGGAGTTTTCTTTCCAGGCCACTTGCTTAAAGCTGCACAGGCGATCTGGGGATGTACCTACTAGCGTTGCATAAGCGAGCTCCTGTGACAGTGCCCAACAGGCCAGCCCGTGCGTGCTCTCCTGATCGCGCCTCACATTCAACAAACGTTGCTCGAACGGTTCCACTCAGTCACTACAGTAGATGCAGTGCCTGCCTCAGAGGCAGGCCCGCCAGGGCTTGCAGAGTCGAAGTCTTCCCAGCGCGTGCAGGGCCAACAAACCCCAGCTTTGCACACCGCGGATGATGTGTTCCTCAGATTCAAACTCCCAAAGCTGCGTGCAAACATGACCCGGCTGTCTTTCAGCTGGAAAGCAGAGTGCACGTATTTGGCGACCACCCCCTACTCCCTACCACTCGACCACGGAAACCAGCAAGACCCGCCTTGGAGCAGAGCTCTTCGGAAGGCATCTTTGGCGTCGTCGCCAAGTGCTGTGGCCAAATGACGTGCTGCGCCTCGTGTACTCCGAAACTTCTCCAGCTTGCCTGAGCGGAGCAAGACGCCTCTCAGAAAAAACACATGCCAAAGCTGCTAAAATGCTGCTGCGAATCTGCAGTTTGCACTCATCAGGCGCTGCACTCTCACGATCTCTCACGTCATGAAGCCAAAACTTGTCAAAGCAGGGAGCCGCAGCTTTTCTAACCCATGCAGAGTCACGTCTGACAGAGTCTGACAGCTTTACACCACTGACGCTGACATCACGTTTTCGAACTGTACATCGGAGTTGGGAGCAGCGCCAGGGGGAATGCAGCTTTGGCACACGGCTACGCGGCTACTCACCCTACTCATGACAAGCTATGCAAGCCTCCACGAATGCCTCTTCGGCAGCACTGGGTTCACCGAAGATCTCGAACTGCAGCGGAAACCAAGAGGCCAATGTGGAGTCGTCTACTTCCTCCGTGCCGCGGGGATGTAGCTCAAATCTAGCACAACATATCGGTTAACCCTAGCACCACAGACAGGCTGTAGCTAGCCGGACTTGTTTCTGAGAAGCTGAGCTGCAGATTGTGTCCGAAACCTACTGCACGTAGCTAAGCGCTCAAACAACCGCCCGAAGCCACTGCCTTACAATTAAAACCGGCCAAAGGCTACCACGAGAAGCCCAGAAAAGCAGATGCGAGAAACAGAAGCACCACCCAAGACGCCTTGCCAACCACAGTGGCTAACGCATCCAGAAGTGGTGCTCGAGCAGCTGCAGTCAGGTGCCCTAATTCAAAATCCTCCTCCCACACTGGCGAATGGTTGTCCTGCCAAGTGTCATGCGTTTTTCAACTGCGACCACCTTGACAGCTTTTCGCACGCAAGTCCTTGATGACAGTGCTGCAATGGGCAGGTGTACGCAAAAGGTTGTGCATCAGTCCGTGGCCCAAGTTCTTGCGAACGAAAGATGCCGACGCACCGAGTGCAGAAATCTCCACGAATGGATCAGAAGGGCTGGCAACGTCACCTTATGGAACGCGGGCAACTGCGGGAATGTGAAGCCAATACGTCATTGTGCAAACAAGACACATCTTGGGATGTTCTTTGCCTCGTGCAGGCACACGCCCAAGCCTTCAGGCAGAACAGCAAACCCCAGCACGCTGCCTGGGACTTGTTTGGGCAGCAAACAGCACCGCTGCGACCCTCCTCCACACAGCCGCGACGTACTCGGTAGGTTGAGTGGCTTGAAGGACACTTTCACGGACGTCTCTCCCTGCGCAGTGTGTCAGTGGCCACCCGAGAACCAATAAAGCACGCCAGAACTTCGACGAATGCAATTCAATAGCTATACTTGGCAGAGCCCCGCAAAGCCACGCCTTGAAAAGGAATCCAGCCTTTACCCGGTGCCCGCCCATGTCCTCAATACAACGAGCAAGATTCAGCAAAACTCATATTAATGGCTTTACTCTGCCCGACAACATGCAAGCGGTCAATTGCACCCGATGAGTGTGAGACAAGGCCTGCTCTGCGACATTCCGCACACCCGGTTCAGTCCTGAAGCTGCAAATCCTTTGTGCCAACTGCCTCGTCTGCTGCCAGCACCTGAATTCCCCAAGTCCGAAAATTAGTTGGTGCTGCCTCATGGCTCATGACTCTTGACACACATTACAAGCCCATTAGTATGCAGCCAGCTTCGATTAGCCTCCTACTAGTTGACCGGCTACCTGATGTCGCAACTCGAGACTAGCATCCTTAGCCGTTTAGCCATTGTCACCTGCCAGCACCGGAAGCAACTGAGGAAAGGTCTGCTGCACCGATGAAGTCGTCATCTGTGAATGCGTCCTTGTCCCAAACTCTGAACGTGATGCTGGCCACTGGCTTCCAGAACCTTGCCACATAGAGGCTGCAGCACTGGTACAGGAGCTTGGCGAGGGCGACGCGATAGAGACGCCAGAATTTCTGCCGGTCAGCTTGCTCGGACTGCGACAGCATGGCATGGCCTTCCTCGGTGTTGAGCTCCGAGCGGCCCCAGTCAAAGATGTGCACCCGAGTTGGAACGTTTTGCGAAGCACGCTGTGGGAATGTTGCACAATCGAAGACAAACATGACCGATGAGCCTGACTTCGTCCCACACACACACACACACATCTGCATTTGCCACGCGGTGTCTCACAAAAAACCGGCCCCCGCCTATCCATTGCTGTGGCACCGGCACCTCCAAGAGACTTTGGAAGCTGTGAAATCTGTCAGGTCGAGATATCTTACGCGCTTGCTGAAGCCACTTCGCAATGTGAGGGTCCCACAGACAGAGTGCTAGTGCAAATCTCACGAGACAAGACTCTAAGCACCTTCGCATGGACAAACGAGACAAAGCAAACGCAGATCCCTCGCGGAGGGACTCATCAAACGTCGCAAAAGCCTTCGACGGTTCGGGGGCTTGTGTAGCGAAGCCTCACTGCCTTTTTACAATGGTTGGTTTGCATCAAGCGCATGGTAAGGGGGCCGCGATATGATGCATGTCTGGCCACAGGATGGCGGCGCGGACAGTACGGACATGGTGTGTAGGATCCTGCCTGGCGACATGCCACCACGAGGCGAGCGACCTGCTGAATGCACTGGAGCAAGACCTGCTCCTGCAAAACAGAAAATGCGCTCAGCCACTTCAAGTCCAGGTAGCACATCCAAACAATCTTATTTCAAATAGGTGCTCGAAGGATCACAAGTCAACGACAAGTCAACGACCCCAAAGCTCCTGGACTTCGATGGCCCGAAGGCAGCGCTCGTTCGGAGGTCCTGGTGCCTGCTCCTGGTGTAAGCGGGAACATGCTTTGGTTCGTGCAAAAGTTTTTGTTTTAAGTCTGTTCCAGACCTGCGGAACCCCGAATGCGCGAACCTGCCTGTGCGAGTGCAGGATATCCCGGCTGGACAGGAACGGTGGGGGCAGACGGAAGGGTGGAGCCGTGGCAGAAGAGCTTCTGGAAAGTCTCGCGTGTACTCCGGCGCCTGGATTGTGAGGATCCTGTCGCATCAATGAGGCCAATCAGGCATCAGTGTCAGCGACATATCCAAGTATGCGCCTCGGGAGTTCACCACGGACTCTGCTGTGTCTTCCGAGATCTGCCGGCCCAAATTCTCGGGGACGTGATGCAAGTCCAGAAAGATGCGGAGGAACTCGTTTGCCTGTCGAAACAATTAGGCGGACTGGCATGCCGCAAAGAAGGATCAGCAGACCCGCGGCCTGCATGCGCTGCAGATTAAAACGGCGCAGTCGCCTCGCGACAGTTGCACATGCATCCAGTTCACGAAATCCGGCCAATATCACGTAAACACGAAAAGCTCCCCGGAAACTGTGCATTGAGAGATCCTGGCTGCTCAACCTTCTTCAGTGAAACCCAAAGGACCACCGGAGAGCTCGTCTAGACACTAAGAGTCACTGTGCTGAGGGACTTCTGTGCGTGCCGAGGAATGTGACTCAGCTGCAGGTGCTCGATGCTTCGAAGAAGTGCCGGAGGATTGTCGAACCCTTCGAGACCTTAGCGGGACTTGCGACACGCTGATGGACTCATCTTCAATGGAGACTTTGCTCTTGAAAAATCATCTCCAGCCGTGCGCTTCGAGCGGCAGAAACATACTCACTCCCGCAGTGGATCTGAAAAAGAAACGGCGCTGAACCAGCGCCGCTTAAATCAGTGCCGCGTGATCCCTTCCCGCATTTCTACCGTTCGCGATGGTTCGCGGTTCTGACTGCCGAGACATAGCCACTGCGGCACGTCGCGACCCAAATTCCAATGCGCAGAATTTGCGGCGCCGAACCATTGAGGCTGCAGCTGAGGCAGGCAAGAGCAAGACCTTACAAGATGAGCAGAATCATGACAACGACAATGCTCGCCATGAAAATAATGCGAGACGACTCGTGTTCGATTTCAAGCCCATCCAGAAACCAGTTCATTCTATGCTTTTCCAACGACATGAGTGGCTTTGCAGAAGTGATGCATTATTGTGGACTGCCCACATCCAATTCGAGAGTGCCCTGACGAGTACCAGAAATACCAAGAGACAGGGCATGCTCCACATTTTGCGGATCCTTTTACTGTGCCGACATGCGTCTTGGGCATGCTTTTCCGGACTCACTTGGGACCTAGCGCAAGTCGATCAATTCAGGATTTTATCGACGCATCACAGTTGGCCACCAAAGTCGACTACATGGCAAATGTTCAAGCCGTTGTTGATCACTTCAAGCCGATGGTCAGCTTGCAGCACTAACATCATTCAACTCGAGATGAGTATCAAGAGGAAGGTTTCAAGCGCCCTATCTCGTGCGAGGTCTGAACCTGGTTACCGGAAGCTTTGCTTCAGTGCGAAAGGTAGGAAGTTCATGACAAGAGCTGTGTCATCGAATCATCATGAATTTGGAACTTCGCCATCCAGCAGAAGTCCAGAGCATGCTGCCAGGCACAAGCCCGATGCCAAAGAGAAAGGCTAAGGCAAAACAAGGGCAAAAGACAATATACAAACACGGTAGCCTTCCAAGAGCTTGGTGCCGTGATCCCTCACGTCCGGCCTCTGAGGAAAGACGGAGATCCATAAGAAACTCCACGGAGCATCAACAGAAAGGCAAAGGCAAAGCAGGCAGCTGGCAAGGGTCAGCGAAAGGGGTTATATTCAGTAGCACGGACACCGTCTTTGAATTCGTGGCAGATGAGCTGTGCAAGGTTCTGCGAAGTACACCATCTCATCCAGGCTTCGGAGGCGGATGGAGTGCAGGTCAGAGCAGAGGAAATGACTCGGCACATGACATGTGGCCGGGAACGATTGAAAGCCTCTTGGTTATCCTCCTGTTCTATGACGCAGTGCGTGGACCAATACCTTTCTGGGTTCTCTCGACAATTCATTCGACAGCATGCCGTCCAGTATTTTCGTGGACATCTTGACGAAGAGGTTCTTGGTTTCGATCACTCCCACAATATGGCAGTTCCACGCAATCATGTGGACTGCAGTGCATTCGCTATGTAATGGCTTCGTTCGAGAGACACGTCCTTTGTTCCAAGATCTTGGAGGAATCCGG